CTGCTGTTGGGCTGGAGAGGGAACACGCTCTGTACTCTCAAAGGAGAATGAAAATCCAGCAGGGGCTAGCGACCACAGCTGGGAAACATCTGGAAAAGCCATATACCCCTGCTGGGGGGTGGCAGTGGGTTGGGGGACGTGTTTGGAGACATGCTGGGGGTGCAGGGTTTTTTGGTGGTGTTTTTCATGGGGATGGTTTTCCACGCATTCCCAGGGGGACAGGCCACCCAGTGGATAGGACACCCATGGGCTTCTTCACCACAGGCCACTTCAGAGGGGGTTTCACACCCGTCCCTACTGGGGCAGAGCCCAGAGCGCGAAAGGTCCAAGCTGGTTGCTGAGGTGTGTGACCCGGGAAGGGAATGCCTGGTTACCAACTACTAATGTGGGAATTGGAATTACCTGGTTACCAATTACTAATGTATTTTGCTGCAGGACACTAATAAAAGTTGCTTTTACCAACCGGTGGCTTGTGGTGCTGTGAATGGCAGCGGCTGGTGGTGCCCGGCCCTGCTCCCCCTCCCGCTATTCAGATGCAAATGGAGCTTTGTACTCACTGCTCATAATTGCTCTGCAGCCACCTCGGGCTTCTGGAGGCTCCAGCCACTCGTGTTGGCTCAGGCTGCAATTCCAACTCCGCATTATTTGCGATGACTGCGGCTACAAGGTATAATTTCGCTGTCTTACTTAACTGTTAGGAATGTCAGGGTGGTTCACACCTCCCAATCAGGCCAGGTAAGGGGCTGCAAATCCCCGGGGAGCAGCCTGAGCTGCATGTCGAGGCTGAACCTGCTGTGCCCTGGCAGGGTCACGTTCTACGTGCTTTGTTGTGATCGGCTCAATAATTTCCTGTATCGAGGGTCTTGCACCCTGGTACCAAAGCACTGATCAGAATTCAGGTGATTGTTCTTGGGATTTTTTTTGCCAAATTGATGGTGTTTCCAGGCAGTTCAGGCTCTTGATGACATGTAATGAGCAGCTGAGTAATTTCCTGGGTCTCGTTTGCCTGGAACACAAAAAAAGGGTCCTGGGGCTCCTTCCTCTGCCCTCCCAGGGATCATGGAGGGAGGGAAAGACACAGAGACACAGAAAGAGAGACTGACAGATGGGCAGAAAGACGGACAGACAGACAAATGGACAGATAGAAAGACAGAAAGATGGATAGAAAGGGACAGAAAGACAGATGGACTGACAGATGGACAGAAAGATAAATGGACAGAAAGACAGATGGTCAGAGAGACAGGCAGACAGATGGACTGATGGATGGAAAGATGGACAGAAAGACAGACAGACATGGATGGACAGACAGATGAATAGAAAGATGGCAAAATGGACAGAAAGACGGTCAGAAAGACAGGCGGACAGACTGATGGACAGATAGAAAGACAGGTGGACAGAAGAACGGACAGAAAGATGGACAGAGAGACAGATGGACACAAAGACAAATGGACAGAAAGACAGTTGCAAAGACAGAGGGGTAGAAAGACGAACAGACGGAATGATGGAAAGAGAGAGACAGAACGACAGATGGATGGACAGAAAGACAGATGTCTGAATAGATGGACAGACAGATGGACAAATGGAGAGAAAGACAGATGGACACACAGGAAGACAGATGGACAGAAAGACTGATGGACAGAAAGAGGGACAGATAGACAGATGGACAGACAGTAACAAAGAAATGGACAGATGGCTGCAAAGACGGACAGATAGAAAGACAAAGACAAATGGACAGAAAGATGGCTGCAAAGACGGACAGACAGAAAGACAAAGACAGACAAATGGACAGAAAGATGTCTGCAAAGATGGACAGAAAGACAGAGGGACATACAAAGATGAACAAAAGGACAGACAGCGGGACAGATGGACAGACAGGTAGGCACAGACAAATGGACAGACGGACAGAAAGACAGATGGACAGAAAGACCTACAGATGGACAGACAGAAAGACAGATGGTCGGAAAGACAGACAGGTGGACAGACCGATGGACTGACAGACAGACAGATAGAAAGACAGATAAAAGGACGGACAGAAAGACAAATGGACAGAAAGACAGATGGCTGCAAAGACAGAGGGATAAAAAGATGGACAGACGGAATGACAGAGAGACAGACAGAAGGACATATGGACAGAAAGACATATGTCCGGAAAAGGAAGACAGAAAGAAACACGGACAGACGGATGGAAAGACGGAAAGACAGAAAGACAGACTGATAGAGTGACAGAGACAGAAAGATAAACAAATGGACAGAAAGACAGAGGGATAGAAAGACAGATGGACAGACAGAGGGAGACAGACAGAAAAATGGACAGACAGATCGCTACAAAGACGGATGGACAGAAAGAGAGACAAACAGACAGATGGACAGAAAGATGAACAAATGGACAGAAAGACAGACAAAGGCAGACAGATGGACAGAAAGATGAACAAATGGACAGAAAGACAGACAAAGGCAGACAGATGGACAGAAAGATGAACAAATGGACAGAAAGACAGACAAAGGCAGACAGATGGACAGAAAGATGAACAAATGGACAGAAAGACAGTGATAGAGACAGACAAATGGACAGACAGCTGCAAAGATGGACAGACAGAGAGAGATAGAAAGATGAACAAATGGACAGACAGAGGGACAGAAAGACAGGCAGATGGACAGAAAGACCTACAGATGGACAGACAAGAGGGACAGACAGATGGACTGATAGATGGACAGAAGGACGGACAGAAAGACAGATGGACACAAAGACAAATGGACAGAAAGACAGCTGCAAAGACAGAGGGATAGAAAGAGATGGACAGACGGAATGATGGAAAGACAGAGACAGAGGGACAGATGGATGGACAGAAAAACAGATGGACAGACAGGAAGACAGAAAGAAACACGGACAGACGGATGGAAAGACGGAAAGACAGAAAGACAGACTGATAGAGTGACAGAGACAGAAAGATAAACAAATGGACAGAAAGACAGAGGGATAGAAAGACAGATGGACAGACAGAGGGAGACAGACAGAAAAATGGACAGACAGATCGCTACAAAGACGGATGGACAGAAAGAGAGACAAACAGACAGATGGACAGAAAGATGAACAAATGGACAGAAAGACAGACAAAGGCAGACAGATGGACAGAAAGATGAACAAATGGACAGAAAGACAGACAAAGGCAGACAGATGGACAGAAAGATGAACAAATGGACAGAAAGACAGACAAAGGCAGACAGATGGACAGAAAGATGAACAAATGGACAGAAAGACAGTGATAGAGACAGACAAATGGACAGACAGCTGCAAAGATGGACAGACAGAGAGAGATAGAAAGATGAACAAATGGACAGACAGAGGGACAGAAAGACAGGCAGATGGACAGAAAGACCTACAGATGGACAGACAAGAGGGACAGACAGATGGACTGATAGATGGACAGAAGGACGGACAGAAAGACAGATGGACACAAAGACAAATGGACAGAAAGACAGCTGCAAAGACAGAGGGATAGAAAGAGATGGACAGACGGAATGATGGAAAGACAGAGACAGAGGGACAGATGGATGGACAGAAAAACAGATGGACAGACAGGAAGACAGAAAGAAACACGGACAGACGGATGGAAAGACAGAAAGACAGACTGATAGAGTGACAGAGACAGAAAGATAAACAAATGGACAGAAAGACAGAGGGATAGAAAGACAGATGGACAGACAGAGGGAGACAGACAGAAAAATGGACAGACAGATCGCTACAAAGACGGATGGACAGAAAGAGAGACAAACAGACAGATGGACAGAAAGATGAACAAATGGACAGAAAGACTGACAGACAGAAAAAGAGACAGGACAGACAGATGGATGGACGGACAGAAAGACAGAGGGCCAGAAAGATGGACAGACCGGAAGACAGACAGATGGATGGACCGAAAGACAGACGGACAAATGGACAAGAAAGATGGACAGATAGACAGACAGATGGACACACAGAAAGAATGAGAAGACAGAAAGAAGGAGAGAGGGAAGATGGGAGGGAGGGCTCTGTTATCTACACTTCCATTACCTCTACATCTGTGTAACACATGATGCACATTAACTGCTTTTACACAATACAACACTTATCTCTTCTGGTATTAATATTATCTTAAATCCTCTTATCCTACCATCTTACCTTCCCTGGGATATTCCCTGGCAAGCTACAAAATACTTACCTCACTGTCCTTAAAATATACTTTATTAATGAGCTTTCAAAAAAATATCTATGAAGCTGTACAGGCAAGTTGGAATGTATTTTAATTTTAAATAAATGGTTGGGTTGTTTTTTTTTTATGCTGTGAACTTTGAGCAACAAGTCAGCAACAAATGAGAATCTGGCTCCACCTGAGGAAAACTGGTTTGGAAATGTAGCAGGAAGCTTCTCTGGCCTCTTCCCTGTGAGAAGCAGTGCTGGGGGACAGGAGGCCAAAGGCCCAACTCACTCATCCTTTGGATCCAAGAGTGGGATCTGCTGGGAACAGCATTTGTAGAAGAGAGACCCAAGGAGGGACATCATTATTGGCTGTAACTTCACACCACCGTAAATGGGCTGGTCTCCATGGGCCTGAGAATTTGCATCTTAATCAAACCCTCCCAGGTGGAACCAGCAGAGACAGTCTGGGCTGTGGAGCTGCACAGCCAGGGGGGCAGGCACTGGTGAAGCTGTAGCTTCATTAGCGAGCCAGCTGAAAAGCACTGCAGTAATTACAGCTCGTACCATTGGCCTCTGCTGGCAGGGAGCTCTGCTCCATCAGGAGGGAGCCACCTCAGGTTGTAAATCCCACGAGAGCAGG